AGACAATAAAAAGAATAATAAAACCTTCAGATAAAGTATTAAACAATTTATTTCTTTAAAAGTATAGATTTATTGTGGAGAAAGGTGACGTCTACGCAAAAATGCAGCATTTTCAACTTCAATTTTTGGTAAAAACGGATGTGGCCGCACTTTTGTAAGGTCATTTTTTCTTTTTAATATTAGAAATCGGGTTATATTTGTTCTTTCTGTGAAGTTTCGCATACATACTCGGATGCGGCCATATCGAAATATAGGCTTGAAGAGGAGGAAAACGTCCAAAATAAGGGAATTCCGGAATATAAGACCGGTTTTAAACGTTATATAAATGAAAGGGCGCTTGAGTTGAGAAAAATTGTTACCCATTTCACACACAGGGAAACCTCAACAGTAACTTGATACACTTAATAAAATGTAAACCTGCGTTTCATTTTTGCCGATTTTACAGGGCCGATTATTGGGCTTACCGTACCCAGTTCTTTCTTGTCTCACCATTCATTGTATCAAATTGTCATGTAATTCTTTTAAAATAATTCCAGTTTTAGATTACTCAGAACTTGGGGACTGACAAATAACTGTAATTTCAAAGTGTTCAAGATAGCATAGTTAGAAACTTGGTCTTAACCTGCAGTTTAGATGAAGGATTCTCTTTCACATTGACATGTCCCAGGTGTCTGGCATATTGGCAATTGGATGTTTGACATATTGGTATTTGAGATACCGACCTTAAAGTGTACATGTGTCATGTTGAAAATTCATGCAGTGACATTTTTGAGCATACTTTTTGAATAATAAATTGTAAAAAAAAAAAAAAAAATACTTGAATCCATTTATTTATTATATTTGGTTAATGTAAAGCTTAGATATTTTAAACAGCTTTAAAGTCTGATGTTAAAAATAGAAATATTCATGCGCTAACTTTCACTTAGAAAAATATGATTGAAGAACAACACCCCTTTTGTACTCTATACATATAGTATAACTAAGCTTTGCAGTATGGGCACTCATAATTTGTTACATATTTGAAAATGCTCACAGCACACTTTGTCTAATCCTGATATAAGATATAATAACAGCCAGTTAAAATTCAAAAGTCAGTTATGGCCGCCATATTTTCTTATTTGTACTGGTTCTTCTTTTTTTGTTTTTTGTTTTGTTTTTTTGTTTGTTTTTGTTTTTGTTTTTTGTTTTTTTGTAAACTTGAAGGGATGTATAAACTGACAGTAGTTTACTACAGAAAGAGACCTTTACTAATTTTCTTGTAATATCTTAAGAAATTCTGGTTAAAGGGGCCTAGACACAGTTGCATTGTTTACATTTTAAATTTCTATGCGCATTCCAAAAATAAAACCAGTTAAATGAATTAAACTTGCCTGAATATTCTTAGAATTCAATAACATTATTCTTTACATCACATCAAACATCTGCTTTTGTAAACAAGGCACAAGCTCTGTTATTGTTAATATTTACGCTTAACCGGGTGTGTTCAATTTGTTAAACTCTGCACACACAGACTGACAATACTGGTGAGTTGGTTTCGCTTTCTCACATTTCTACTCTGAATTTTCTGGATTATACTTTTAATATTTTTCATTAATACACAACAGAAGTTGTACTTTGCTTGAGTATTAAGGATAAAGTTTTCTTTGTGAAAGTGCAAGAATGTGTCAATCAAATGTGTCCCGAAATTCGTAGTTTCAATAATTTCCAGATAAAAAAAGTTTCTGAACACGCTTTTACTATATTTCTGTTTGAAGTGCTATTGCAACATATAAGTCATGATATTATACAGAAAATTTGAGAAAATATTAATTTCAAATCTGTGTCCAGGCCCCTTTAAAGGCAAATGCAATCATTTGAACTTTATTTACTTCTTCGCTGTATAATTTAAAAGTTCCAATAATTGTGCGACTTTTATAATGCCGAATTATGCTCTACACATCTTCTAAATTGAATTGTAAGGAAATACCAGCTAAAACTATATGTTAATTTTTCTTTGAATAACACAAGTTTTTTTTATCATTTGATTAGGGGAGATGATCAAGAAAAGACAAAAATAGGGTGGGGTCATTAAAAATCTTTCTTCTCAAGAACCACTGGGTCAGAAGAGATGAAACTTAAATGAAAGCTTCCTTAGGCAGTGTAGATTCTAAATTATGGGGCCACAATAAGAGATCAAAGTTTTACATTGAAATATATAGGAAAAATTCTATAAAAATTTTCTCAAGAACCACTGGGCCAGATTAGATGAAACTTGTGTAAAAGCTTCCTGAGGTAGTGAAGATTCTAAATTGTTCAAATCATGACCCAAGGGGGTTGGATGGGGCCACAATAAGAGATCAACGTTTTACATTGAAAAATATTAAAAAAAAAATTCATTAAAAATCTTTCCAAGAATAACTGGGCCATAAGAGATAAAACTTATATAATTATGAAAGCTTTCTGAGGTAGTATAGATTCTAAATTGTTCAAATCATGGCCCCCGGTGGAAGTGTGAGGCCACAATAGAAAATCAAAAATTTACATTGAAATATATAGAAAAAATTCTTTAAAATTTATTAATAAAAGATCTTTTTCTCAAGAACCACTGGTCCAGAAGAGATGAAACTTTTACGAGAGCTTCTTGAGGTAGTATAAATCCTAAATTAAATAAATAAGGCCCCGATGGAAGGATGCCATCACAATAGGGGATCAAGGTTTTACATGTGACAATATAGGAAAACAAATTTTGAAAATCTTCTCGGGAACTTTAATTGCACTATTTATATGCAAACATTCCAAACTGGAGTGGCTTAATTTTTTTCAAATTATGCACCCAGGGTTAGAGTTAGCTTAAATAGGGAGCAAATTTTACATATTGCATGTACACAGGAAAATAATTTGCTTCTCCATTATTGCAAGGCCATGGTATTGATATTGAAGCATCCCCATGTTGTGTGAATACAGAGACTTTCAGAGTCAGAGAGGAGCTTTAATATGGGGCCACAATTTTAGAAATCTTTTTGGAAAACTGTTGAAGAACAGCAGGACTTAAGTTACTCAGATGAGCGATATGGCCCATGGGCCTCTTGTTTTGTCTATGGACGTCTGATGGTGCTATAATTTTAAAATAAGAATATCTTGAACAATTATAAGTAGGTAATGTACATTTTAAGGCACATGTACATGTACCTTGCAATTGACCATAAAAACGGATCAACATACATAGTTCTTTGTTGCAATGTACATGTACTCTTGTGCAAGTTGCTGACTTAACATATCGTAAGGTGCAAATAGAAACGAGCAGGGTACATGTATATTAAATTGTTATATTTTTGACACTTCGAAATTTCTGCATTAAGCTAGAAAGTTACATTTGAATCTAGCAGATATACAATTCTTAATTTCCTGCCAAAGTTTACGTAGATTAGAGAACGACTGCATTATTATAAATTAGGGATGTCAATTTCACTCGGATAGCCTTGTCGAATAATCGGGGACAGTCATTCTACAATAAAAGGGCCACTTCAGGGAATAAAAAATGTGTTTAAAATAGCCAATTGAACAACGTAATTTTCAAAAGGACGTATCAGTGTACTTGAAAAAAAATGTATATTCAAAAGTCTGATTTCATTAACTTTTTACAATTTCAATATACCCACGGTTTTGAGGCAATGTTACGGAAATAATGCTTTAACAGGACTAATTTAAGAAAAAAAAATATCCGGAATTTTAAGCTATTTTTTGTTTTCTGATGTTGAATATAGAACGGTATAATATGATTTTTTGTAATATGGTAATAATAAAAATTTCAGAGAAAATATTGTTACGGAAGTTAATTTTCAGCAATAAAATTTGAAATTCTTGAGAAAAGATATAACTAGCGTTTGTTTTAAGATGGCAATCAAAAGTATTATTGATAAGTGTTTCGCTCCCCAAAAATAATTTTTTTTTTTTGTACCTGGAAAACATTCCCGAATTACAGTTATGGTAGTTAAAATTTTAAGTTTTGTCTAATTCATTTCGCTGTGTGTCGAAAATGTAATGGTCTTCATTATCTGAATTAAAACTAGTGGAGCGAAAGTCGAAGTACACATTAAAATTATTTTCCTACGGTCAGTTTAACTCCTACATGTATGTCCTTCTTAAGACTGTTTGTACAATCAATATTTATATTAATCTACATAAAAAGTATTTCTCAACAATTATTTTCTTTAATTTTAAAATCACTTAACGCCATTTAAAAGTGTCATATTCCAGTTAAATTATGGACCCGTGACTGATAATCTGTTATCTAAATTAAAAAGCTTTCCATAACTATTACTTAATATGCAGTTTTGTGCATAAAACAAATCCAAACATAATTGACTTTCAAAAAAATTATTACTGAAAACCACATTACCGAGTAAAAAGATCTTTAGTCGATAGTCGATATGAACATACGTACAAGTTAAGTACTTTAATTATCAAAAGTACGAAAGTATTTTTTAAAATTATTATTATTATTTTTTTATTTAAAAAAAATAAATTTTTTTTTCTTAATTTATTTTATTTTATCTATAATAATTTTAAAAAAATGTATTCCAAGATTTATATTTATTTTTCTGCACATAAAGAACGTTCAAAAGAAAAGAAGCCTGCAAAAGTCCTAAGGATGTTTTTACAAGTGAATTTTACTATTTCTTATTAAATCTAATTTTAATTTTCCTGATGTAGCAGATAAAATAACTCGAAATGATAGGGAAGATCTTGATGATAACTACATGCATTTTGTAAATAAATGTAATGCGTACTTCCGCAGATGCTTCAGGCTTTGCTCCAAATATTTTCAGCGACAGGAAGAAGGCATAGTCAATTTCTAAAACAAGGACATATAATACAAGAGCTTCCTCTCTGTTTTTCGAATGTATGATGTAGAAGGTTAACCTTTCTAATGAAAAACTGCTTTTATATTTTTATTTTTTTCTGAACCGCGATTGCTACAATTTTTATCAGTATGATATTAAGTTATTGATTGGACAACTATGTGGGAAGATGACGACCATTTATGCCGACTTTTGGCGGACAGCTTAGCAAACACAGTTGGTTTTTTGCCAGTTCAAAGGTTAAACAGGCGAGTGGATGATATTTTATCTGACATTCATTATCATGGAAGAAACGTGGAGGTTGTGAAGACAGGGAGTTGGGCTGAAGGATTCCGCATGCGTGGAACAGACGTTGATAGGATGTATATTGATAAAACTGCGATGGCATCAGAAACTCCGGAAAAAATACCAAACAAATTTTGTGCTATCAAAATCGAAAAGTACACAGATATCCAAAGGGGATACGCAAAATTGATATTACTAACCCCTGACAAAGCTGAACAACATTTGCAACTCGCAGTGGTACGTGAAGCTGGATCCTTGTACGTATCAAGTAAAGTGTACATAGAATCTTATGTGGGTGATAACCAGGAAACACATGGACCCTGTGTAAGAAGAGTGGCGCAACATGGAACAGAGCAAGATGACGCACACTGTCTAAGCTGTCCACATTGGCCATCGGATGCAATGGAATGGTACCACAGAAGAAGACAAAATGGATGGCCAGAGCTTCACTTGTTGAGGGACATATACAATAAAGGATGTCATGTGGTACCTATTGGTCGTAAATTCATTGACAGAAATGGACTTTGGTGTTTTGACCCCATGACGTGGCGATTTTCATTTTCAGTCGCAGAAAAACGATTGGTTTATACATTTAACGATACACAGTTTCTGGTTTATGGCATTTTCAAACTGTTAGTCAAAGAGGCATTTCGAGAGACCCGAAACGTTTTATGTTCGTATTTCATGAAAACGCTTTTGTTTTGGTGTATTGAAGAAACACCAAAAGAATGTTGGAGACAGGAACGTTTAGTTTCCTGTATAGAAATCTGCTTCAAACGACTGATTTTGTGGGTTTCAAATGGATATTGTCCTAACTATTTTGTCAGGGAAAACAACATGTTTCTTGGCAAGTTAGACGAAGTGGAACGCGAATCTCTTTTTATTCATTTGTCAGAACTTTATGGAGAGGGTTGGAGGTGCCTTTTGACTTGTCCATCCTTGCATGACTTGAAAGAAGCTTTGCAGAAAAGAAGACTACATATTCTAGAGGCCACCTTTGATTCTTATGGCATTGATCCGGACGAGGATTTTAGAGGATTAAGTTTACAGAGAAGGAATGATTCTAGTACATCTAAGGAAGATATCGAAGACAGAGCATTCTTTTCCCAATTAGAATCCGTAGTAAAGGGTCATCCAAACTTCAGAAGTCTTGAAAAAGAGTTTTTCAATGCAGTTGCCCTGTTACTTGGAAAGGAAATACAACTTAATACCTTAATGCACGATACCGTGACACTGTACATGTATAAAACTTTACAACATATAGCTATGATATTTTATTATAAAGCAATGAATGACACTAGTAGATGTGCACGTTTCCGGTACAGACAAATCAGACGGGCACTTGACTTGATGAAATTCACAGACTCAGCAGATATAAGTAGAGGACGGCTAACTTTAGCAACAGCTTTTTACTGTATGGGATACTACCGCGATGCTTTGAAAATGATCCGTCAATATGAAGTTTTTCTAGATGATTATCAAGGTGTTCTTTATATAAGTTCGAGGTTTCCAGATGATATAGGAGAAGAATACATTGTCAATTTCTGTAATAGTAATTTTTCAAGAATTAAAAAGGCCTCAATTGGCGTTTCGTACGATTTTGAAGTGTTTCGAACGATGCCGATTTATCCCAAGGAAATAGCGTTTGAAATTCTTCTCATGAAAGATTCCTCTGCATTTATTTCCTTTCCTCCACGTCCATACTCCATATTCCTGAAGGCATTGTGTTTTTCTAAGAGAAATGACATGTATAATGTAAAAATTCTTATGGAAGAACTGCAGAGTATTCTTCTATTGACCAACGATGGTGCGATGCATCTCATTTACACAATGATAGCAATATTAGAAACTAAATTAGATCGATTTGACAACGCTTATCGAAATTTTTATTTGGCATACTGGCATAAGAAATATTTAACATGGAGACAAGAACATTGTTTTGAATGGGATTCCTTACAGTCACCTCTGTTGCACGTGGCTGTAATGGTGAGACTCTTGATTTAACTCTGAACTATATTTAAATTTGAATTGCCAAATACTTATACATGTAGTATACTTACTGTTTACTGAATATTAATTTTTGACTTAAGATGAATGTTAATCTGGAGAACATACCACTAAGAGGCTACTTATTTTCACATGGTTTCATTAATATATCTGAATATATCTGAATTATGAAAACGTGCTGTGTAACTAGTCCTAAAAATTGTTTTTGCTAGTTAAATGTAATTTCAATTAAACCTTCGAGCTCTTGGTATGTTAACATTTTTGTAACCACTTTGTAGAAGTTAAGTTATTTGATATTTATAAGTCCGAAGAAACTGTTCTATATTTGGCATTAAACACCGGTGTATAAATCTGAGAAAAATCTATTTATGAAAATGTCTTAAAATCTGCATGTTTTTACATAAACATTTAAGAAGCTAAAGAACAGCAAAATATACAGCAAACTATTCTCAGTGGTTTATTAACATCTTTAAAGAAATTAAAGAAAGACAAGGATTGAAATGCACACAGAAGGTCCTAGGTGTACACTAAGGTTACCATAGCTAAACTTCAAATGAAGGGCCCATCTTATCATAATTTGCATGTTATTAGGTGTAGAGCGAGGCAGCTGATCTTCTATACTTAAATAACATAATTACGCAATGTATTTGGGGGGTTCATATCCAAGAATTTAGTACTTTTTAAAGTAAAATCGGTATTTTTCTACCAAAGGTACAACATACGTTCAGAGAATACTTCTTTTAAGGACTCAAATTTCAGTTTAAATAAATGAGCAAATGTGTATAACAGAAACTTATTGTGAAAGATATGCTCATGAAATACCCCACTCCCTCTCACTTTCTCATTATTTTAGTTGATTACAAAAGCAAAACACACACAAAATCACTATTAGTGAGATTCAGACAAAAACACAGATGAGACACTAAATCATTAGAAAATGTAATCTGGGCGTGTTCATTTTTCATGAAAATACAGACCCGTGGGAAGCAATTTCACTTTGAGGGGGCACAACCATACATTTTCAGTTGGGGGGGGCACTATCAACTAGTTACCAGAAATTCATTGACAAGCCCCCCCCCCCCCCCGGTTCCTACGGCCATGAAATAAAAGAAGAAGAGAATAAAATATACTGTCAGTAGTTTAACAGATAGTATAGGCAATTCCTGAGGCCTGTACAACAGAGTGGACGTTCGTGTGCGTTTGCCAGAATTCCTTATCTCACAAACAGAAATGTTGGCGAGCACTCGCTCTGTTGAACAGGCCTTTGTTGACGCTGAATTCTTACATTAATTATATCTGTAAAACTTGTTTGATTCAACTTCCGTTGCGAAATGAAAATCATATTGATACTGAAGAAATAGCCACTTTCCATTGGAAATGATGATAGAAATAATTAATTTTTAAAGATTAAAAGATTCTTTCCCCTCAGTTATCAGTACATGGAAGAAAATGTTGTTTGGATACCAGAGGTATTTAGTAGATGTAACATAAACTGTATAATTTTATACTTTTATACAGCATTTATTAAGAAAATATCAATTATTAATTCAACTAAAAAAAATATTTGCAAACATGAATGAATGCCTAGCATTATTTTATTTTCTGTTTATTATTATTATTATTATTATTTTTTTTTTTTTTATATTTTGCTTTATTCATTTATTTTTTGTCGTTTTATTTGCTTGTTTGTTTGTTTTTGTTTGGTTGGTTTTTTTCATTTAATTTAATTTATTTTATTTTATTTATTTATTTATTTATTTTGGTTCAAATCAAAGACTAAAAACTAGGCTAAAAAGTTTACTGAGAACTGTAATTTCATTTTCTTTTCTCGCTATCTTTTAAGGGAGAGTATTTTTAATAACATTTCGTGAAGGGAACAAAATTTCGAGTTTTGCCGCACTTTGTATATTTTCACTGTGAAAACTACCACTGATATTTTTCAGAGTGAAAAATGTCACTTTCAGTAATAACTCTTTTAATCATTGGATATAAATTAAACTACTTCGCTGTCGAAAAGGAAAAATAATAATCATTAGTAATTTACTCCCATCAGATACAGTACTGCAAGGTTATCTACAGGTCTTAACTCCATATACGATGAGACCGATGGCCAACACATAGCAGTGTTTTATGAGATATAATATCCCCCCAAAAATCGAAAGAAGTAAATAGATGATGGAGAAAATATAGGAAATCAATTCGTAATCTAGATCACGTAAGGAGTGTAGTGGGATTTACGCCAAACATATTGACACAGAGGATTGATTGATTGTATGTTGTTTTACATCCCATTCGAGAATTTTTCATTCATATAGAGATATCACCATAGACCGTGAAGGGCCTCAAATTTAGACCTGTACTCGGCACTCAAGGCCATTGAGCTATTTTCATCCGAAAGACCTGCAACTTTCTCTCCAAAGTGCCGAGCGCTTATCGAAGGAACAGTTGCTACCTATTTTTTTTTTTATCGACTTAGGTCAGTGGCGGTCGTGATTCGAACACACGACCTTCCGATCACGGAGCGAGTGCTCTACCGACTGAGCTTCCGTGACGGTTGACACAGAGGACAGAAAATACTTCTCTTAAACCAATTCTCTCTAATATAAAATATAATATATTTACTTGCTATTTTGAAATTCTTCGTTCTTTTGGAATAACCTTAAGCTTTTTAATAGTAAAAATATTTTAAATCGGCTTTTATAATTTCTTTAAGTTAACTAATTTCATGATATAGAAGCGTGGTTATGTTTCAAGCTTTAAGCAATGACATGTTTATGTAAACAAAATTCAAATATCAAAAGAGAGATTATATATTTTTCCTTCATTAGCCCTAAATCGACTCCTCCCAATAAGGAAGGCCTTTTAAACTTTTTCGTCTACACAAAAATTATGTAAGTTATATCTGATTAGTTTTTATTTAGAAACATGCTATTAGATTTTCAGAAACAGGAAGGTTTTAAATCTACTTTTGCGCACACAAGAAAACAAGGAAGAAATTCCAATGTTCCCAAACTGTACAATGCATAGGCAGTGTAGCAAGGTTAGCGTGCTGTTGATTTAAGGTGTACAGTGTATGCGTTTTTGGTTCCTCTTGACTATAATTACATAGGAGATTATTACTTGGAACAAATATGTGGGAAGATGATGACCATTTATGCCGACTTTTGGCGGACTGCTTAATCAACGCAGTCGGGTTCCTGCCTGTTCAAAGGTTGAACAGACGCGTCGATGACATCTTGTCAAACATTCATCATTATGGTAGAGATGTGGAGGTCATTCAGACCGGGAGTTGGGCTGAAGGATTTCGTATGAACGGCACAGATGTTGACAGAATGTACGTAGATAAATCTACAATGGTATCAGAAACCCCAGAAAAGATACCAAACAAATTTTGTGCAATCAAAATAGACACATCTTCAGAAATTCAAAGGGGTTACGCAAAATTAATATTACTGACGCCACACAAAGCAGAACAGCACTTGCAACACGCAGTGGTACGTGAAGGTAGAACCTTGTACGTATCAAGTAAAGTGTACATAGAGTCTCATGTAGAAGAAAACCAAGAAACACATGGACCCTGTGTAAGAAGGGTTGCTCAACAAGGAACGGAGCAAGATGACGCACACTGTCTAAACTGTCCACATTGGCCATCGGATGCAATGGAATGGTACCACAGAAGAAGACAAAATGGATGGCCAGAGAGTCACTTGGTGAGGGACATATACAATAAAGGATGTCATGTGGTACCTATTGGTCCGAAATTTATCGACAGCAATGGACATTGGTGTTTTGACCCCATGGCATGGCGATTTTCATTTTCAGTGGCAGAAAAGCGATTAGTTTACACATTTAATGATACACAATTCTTGGTTTATGGCATTTTCAAACTGTTAGTCAAAGAGGCATTTCGAGAGACCCGAAACGTTTTATGTTCGTATTTCATGAAAACGCTTTTGTTTTGGTGTATTGAAGAAACACCAAAAGAATGGTGGAAACAAGATCGTTTAGTTTCCTGTATAGAAATCTGCTTCAAACGATTGATTTTGTGGGTTTCAAATGGATATTGTCCCAACTACTTTGTCAGAGAAAATAACATGTTTCATGGTAAGTTAGACGAAGTGGAACGCGAATCCCTTGTTATATATTTGTCACAGCTCTATGGAGAGGGATGGAGGTGCCTACTTACTTGTCCATCCTTAAACGACCTAAGAGATGCTCTGCAGAGAAAAAGATTTGAAATTCTCGACACGCCATTCAATGGCTTTAGCCCAGATGAAGATTTCAAAGGACTCGGTACACAACGAAGGAATGATTCCACCTCAATTACGGAAGATGTAGAAGACAGAGCATTCTTTTCCCAATTAGAATCCGTAGTTCAGGATCACCCTAACTTCAGAAGTCTTGAAAAAGAATTCTTTAATATGGTGGCCCTTTTACTTGGAGAAGGAACGCGATGTGATATTTTGATGCACGATACCGTGACATTCTACATGTATAAAACTTTACAACATATAGCTATGATCTTTTTTTATAAAGCAATGAATGACACCAGTAGATGTGCACGTTTCCGGTACAGACAAATCAGACGGGCTCTTGACTTGATGAAATTAACAAACTCAGCAGATGTAAGCAGAGGAAGGCTAACTTTAGCAACAGCATTCTACTGTATGGGATACCACTATAGTGCTTTGAAAATGATCCGACAATATGATGTTTTTCTTGAAGATAACCAAGGCGTTCTTTATATAAGTTCGAGGTTTCCGAATGATCTGAGTGAAAAATATATTGCTAACTTCTGTAATAAAAATATATCAAGAGCTGAAAAAGCCTCAATGGGCGTTTCGTACGATTTTGAAGTTTTTCGAGCCATGCCAATTCATCCTATGGAAATAGCATTTGAAATTCTATTAGTGAGAGATACTTCAGTAATTCTGCCTTTTCCCCCACGCCCCTACTCTGTATTCTTGAAGGCTCTGTGTTTTTCTCAGATGAATGACAAGTACAACGTGAAAATTTTAAAGAAAGAACTTTTAGACAATCTCCCATTTACTCCAGATGGTGCATTATATCTTATTTACACAATGGTAGCAGTATTAGAAACCAAATTAGACCGTTTTGACAAAGCTTATCGAAATTATTATTTAGCATACTGGCATAAGAAATATTTGACACTGAGGCAGGAGCATTGTTGTGAATTGGCTTCCATACAGTCGCCTCTGTTGAACGTAGCTCTAATGTTAAGACTTTTGATTTAAACTTGAACTGTATCTAAATTTGAATTGGCTTAAATTGATTCTATATTATAACTTAATACGATCTATGATTTAAAAAACTGATGATTAAAAGCAGCTAGCACTATAAGGTTTCTTTTCTTAATTGAATTTATTAATATATTAGAATTATAAAAAAAGTGACGTGTCATTAGTTCTACAAATGATTATGCTAAATTAATGTGGTAGCAATTAACCCTCTGAGCTCTTGGTGTACTCATTTTCTGTATGTAACTATATCATGTATATTTGTATATTTTTTTTCAATGTAAGTTTTTTAAAAACATTAAACATGTTAAAATGTGTGTTTTGCACAGACATTCATTAACCAGTGCAGAACACATGATGCAAAGTTATATTTCAGGGACACAGAAGTATCTAATAAGAAATGGCACATAATGTAGTTCGTAGAGAATTGAAAAGCATAATTAAAAAAAGATGCCGAATGCACATCATTCCGACCTTGACAAAACATTATATGACAGACCAATAATATAATGTTTTGCATGTTGTATGCAAGGGAGGCAGCTGATCTGATGAAACATCATATATTGTATGTAAAATAAGTAATTATATGATGCTTCTATTCTTAGAGTTAATCATTTTCTATCAATAGCAAACTAACTTTGTAGCAAAATTACAGTGTATACAGTGCATTCCACTGAATATTTCCAATGTACGCTTTTTAAAGTTAAATCAATATGCACCGTGTACTTTGTATATATACTCATGAGATTGTCACCATACGATTGCGACCTCTCTCTCTCTCTCTCTCTCTCTCTCTCTCATTATTTTTATTAGTAATGCTGTTTACAATGTTTACGAAATAAACAAACAAAAAATCTCTTTTAGTGAATATATCACTTAGACCTAAATCATATGCTGATGTGTTTTATCATGTTTATTTTTCAATAAAACACAAGGATAAAAATCGAACAAAATGTAGTATCATTGTACTACCAGACACAAAAAGCAATCCTTTACTGTTGTCGCTGAATTCTTACATCATATCCGTAAAATATAATTTGGTTCCACTTCCCTAGCGCACTGAGAACAACATGGATATACATGTAGATACAGAGAAAATATATAGTTTCTTCCGTAGAGAAGACGAAGGGATTTTCCTTAGATTAAAAGATTTTTCAAATAATAATCCATGAAAGTAAATGTTTATTGATATTCGGTACAAGTGACCTAATTATGTACAAATTCTATGCCACCTTTATTAAGATAATGACAATGTCTATAAATACATATTAATCAATAGAATAAATCAATCTTTAGAAAACAAACTCATGTACATGTATTACGCAAAACACGTTTTGTATATGTTTTTTGCGAGAGACAATCTATATTTAAGGACCCTCTCTACACCAGTGCAAAATATTTTTTGGACATTGAGAAAAATATATCGTATAAAGGTGCTAATATTGAGCGTTTCTATTTAATTTTCACTATATGGTACCTGGCATTTACTCCCAGGAAAAATGTTCAAACAAAACACAGTGTCACAGAATAGAAATCACTGTTGTTTACCTCCATAGAGAAAATACATGTAAATAACATGTTCAATTAATTTATCTTGGCCTTTTAAAATGTTAAGAATACTTGAATTGATTACAAACTGAGTAATAAACTGTAAATTTATATTTTTCAGAATTTAAATCTAAGGGCAGATCACTCGAACTTCAGAAAAATACCATAGAATCAGAACTCTTTAGTGTGCAGTGTAGAGAGGGTTCTTAATTTAATGAGACTGGCGTGTCAACAAAGAATTCAACAGTTCCACCTAAAATATGAAGTATGATTTTCCTAGCCATTATCTTTAACTTAAGAAAAATCACAAGCTCAATAAGTGAAATTACCCCGAGAGTCTCTTGTTTACAGGCATTAACTTTTTTTTACTCAAGTAAGCCTAATTAAATTATAGAAGATTATGGCCTAACAATCATATTAATCGTAAATCTTAAAATATTGTTAGGGATTATTTTTTTTAAATTCAATGTGAACAAGATCCTGTTTTTTGATTCATGATAATTTTCCCAAAAGATTTATATACATGAAGATGTTACAGACGACTTTTAGATAAATCTAAAAAGAAAAAAAAATGAAATTCCTTATAATTGATTTATTGCAGCTGCAGTCGAGAAGTACATGTCTCAAAAAACCACAACAAAACTGTGTTAATGAACCATAATTATATTATTTTGAAGAAAAGGAAAACCGTTGGAATTACCATGAATTCTCCATGCGTGGGGCTTTTGTCATTGTTATCAACCCCATGTGTTGTAATGATTACGTTCAGATTATTTGCTCTTTTGCAGTTTTTATAATGAAGAGAGTATTTGGATAATGGATGGATAATCTTTTTTAGACTATATGCAATTAATGAAGGTATTCTTTGCCATGATTTGGTACATTGAGGCCGCAATTAGACTGAATCTATAAAGCAAAACGTTGCTATTCTATACTTATACATAGAAACCACCATCTCACTCCGATGCTCCATCATTCTAAATATAATTTTTATTGATGTTATAGTAACAAAATACAGTGTTGGTGAGAATTTAACGGCAATTATGTATGAAATAAGAATTATTGCACCACTAAAATTTTTCCACTTTTCATTTCAATTTTATTGGACTTTAAGATTTCTTTATTGCAAGTTAAATCATTCGTCGCACCCCCTGCAAATCTACTGTGTACATGTATCAATCACAGGTATCTTTTGAATCCTCAACATCTTCTGCTGCCAATGAGTTACACATATACAATTATTCTTTTTTTTAGCGTATACATTTACTTTTATGCATCTGATTTTTATTGTGCCTGTATTTTTAATTATGCCTATAGGTTAAAGAAGAAATATTTTTTACCAGTACATGCAGTAATGATTTTCATTAATCTGTTTTTCTAACGTACCTGCATATATCGGGGATAAATTTTTAAATATCAATATGAATTACTATTATTTAATAGCTATTTTAATTTAAAGTCAAACAAAAGAACTAGCGTCAAAGCTTGTAAATAGGAACATAATATACAAAGCACAGAATACGAAAAGGGAATAAGTACATTTCCACAGTTCTAGTGAAGTACATGCAATTATAAATTGTAATAACTCTCATCCTTTTCAATGAACCAACATTTCCTAAATCAAAACGTTTTTTCTCTATAATTATATAGCAAATATTTGACACTTTACACATGGTACAATGTACACGAGCCGTCACTAAATCCCGAGTGAAATGTAGTAGATTGTTGGTTATGTGCAGATACCCGATGGGCGTGATTATAAAGACACAAGGGAGCGTAGCTCCCGAATTGTCTTTATAACCACTCCATCGGGTATCTTCACATAATTAACAATATTATATGGGGTAAGTGACTTGTATCATAGTTAACAAAAATTGATCGTTTCTTATTTTAGTCTTATTTTTGTCGCTCATTCAAGTGAAAATTAAATAATTCAAACTTTTTTCAACCTAATTTCAATATTTACAATAATTTCAAACATTTAATAATGTAAGGGAATTTTACATTTGGAATAGATGCAATATGAAACTCAATTATTTAAGTACGTTTTTGATTGTAGAGTTTTCTTGGTTTGTTATTAATAGAACAATAAAAGAATCAACAAAGAGATACCAACGATGGTACTAACAACAATATTTTCAAAACCAATGCTATGCCCTCACAAATAATAATTTTAAAAAAAAACCATGAGAATAGTTTTAAAAGATAAATTGTGCTTTTTTCTGCGCTTGTTTTCGATTTGTTAACGTCTAGAATGTAAAAGTTTTCAATTAAAAATGACCTTTCAATGCTTTTTTAATTGTTTTTCTCTTTAATTTGGTCTATTAGTACATATGATTTTTTGACTTAAAAATGCGGCTGTTTTTGCAAGTTCTCTTGTCTCGACTCGATGGGCGGAGTTTATCGAAAAGTCTGAGTTATGTAGAAATAACCCACACTTTTAACAAAAGAAATCACACCTAACTATGGTTTAAGACCTTTCATTAGATTTCCTGCGCCCGCGAAGTAAGTTCGAGAACAATATTTTCAAACTTTCCTCCTAGAAATACTATCATATTTATTTAAGGAATGTTTTTAAGTTTTGTGTGAGTTATTGGTGTGTAAATCACATAGACTTATCACGTGCACGTAGGCATATTTCATGCAGCGCGCTAGCAAATGTAAATATATCGATATAACTACTATGCATATATTTTTATTGCCGTATGCATGTCGAGGTAACTACATCGATATCTTAAAACCTCGTGCTTTGATCAAAATTCTTGAATCAGTATTTTCTAAGTCGAAATAATTTATAGCAATAAAATAAATCAAGTAAAAGAGGATGCTTTAAATTATGTAAAAAAAAAAAAAAAACAACAACAACAACACCTAGATGCAATGCAAAATAAGTGTACAAATAAGAAATTAAAACACTTAAGTTGACAAGACACCTAAGAATAAGACAATACATCTACAAGTTATAACATGAGTGTAGAATCCTATACGTGAAAATACAAAGATACATATACAGATTAGAATAATTCAAAAATTCTTCCTCTTTCCTGACAGATGCCGTGAAGCATTGGAATTCATCAGTTCATTCCATAAAACTTCAAAACAAAAGTCAGTAATTCGCCAACGAATTTTTCATTTGGTAAACACTATACAAACATAATCGATAACAAGCTAAAACCCAGCTGTTGACTTAATTGGTCTATATACATGCAATATTATTTTTAGTTCTTTATGTTCATGTAGTAAATACAAAGATGTATATAATGTCTGCTTTGCTTGTAGAAATTATCATAATGCTATAAATAATCTTTTAAACTGTCTTTTCATGCTCGAGGAATTGGTCACTATTGATACAATTTTGTTATTATGGGGTGGTGTAAATTTGCTTTTACAAATTGATAAAAATACTTATTCTGCTGTCCATAAATTTATTGTTAAAATTGTAGATTTTTAATCGTTATGTTATCTAACATAATTTCACTTTCATCATTCGAAAAATTCACATCTATGAATTAAATTGTTTTTCATGACATATTGTAATATTTCAGGAGATTAACAGGTTATTTGAAACATTTTGTTTCCAATTCGTTTCATTTTTTCATATGTTAGGAACACACTGTTTGTAAATTTTGAGATGGCAGCTTAAATATACGGAGAAATAAATCGAGAAACAGTGCATTTTTGTGCATAATAAATATACACTTTTTTCAATGGACGTCCATCAAAATATTTTCATACCAGCGAGCTACAGACCTGCAGCCATAATGATATTCGAATATATATATATATATATATATATATATATATATATATATATATATATATATATATATATATATATATATATATATATATATATATATATATATATATATTCACTTAGGGCAGTTATGTTAGTTTATAGTTGTTGTAAAATGTGCTTTATAAATATAATTTCATTACAACATTTTTTAGTAACGATCCTCTAATAAAAAAAAAAACAAAGAGAAAAAAAACTAATGTCCAAATAACTGTATCTCACTTCAATTCTCAATGACCGTGTAGTGTAGAGCAGCGCCGCGAGAATTCCATCGGCATCAAAGGCAAGTTTTTTGACTTGCCTAGATAGCCGAGCGGTCTAGCGCGCTGTTCCTGTACTGCTAGGAGACAGATTCCGTAGGTCGAGAGTTCAACCCCGGGCTGGGGCGGAAGTGGGTATCCTTGTCAAATTTCCTTGTGAATTTCTTTGTGCTTTATATATATATATATATATATATATATATATATATATATATATATATATATATATATATATATATATAGACATGGAATCAGTTCAAAAGAAAAAAAACAAGAACTTTTTTTTTTAAATTTTTAATTAAATTGTTTTAAATGAAATACGATAAATATAGAATTAAAGTCAGTTACACGTAATAACAGCATGCATATTACACCTTCGGGCATTCCAACTTAGAATGAAAAACCGTGGGTTTTTTCTCTGCACTTGTATTTTAAATCTGAGATTATTTTTTTTAACAAAATATTAAAACTAAATTACATGTACATCTAAAGTTAGATAAACGTAAATACAGCGCACATAAATTTGACCAGAATTACACCTTCGGCATTCCAACTTATCTAATAAGAATGAAAAACCCTTGTTTTTATTTCGAATTTGTATTTTGGTTAAACCAACAGAAAATCCTACATTTTTTCTTCGATTCTTCTTCTTCTTTTTTTTTTTTTTTACATAAAGTAAAATTTCAATGGCAATATTCTTTAAATAAAATGTAATATCTAGGAACAACTTTTATTACTAGATACATGTATAATATGTTTTTCTTTGAAAATATGTAACTTAAATCCAAATAGGGCTTTTTAAAAACATGAATGCATAAGACAATTTATGGGCTCAGTTTAGTACATGTGCTTTCAAATAAATATGGAAAATCCAGAGAACTCTGTCAGTCATTTGATTAATAATGTAATTCATCAAACCTGCAAGAAAAATATTCGATGCATCAAATCTAGTTTGTAGGTTGTTTTACTTTTTGCAAATTGAATAAGATATAATACCCTCAAATATCTCAGTTTATTTGTAACATCGTTGGATTTAATACAGAAAGGAGGTAATTATTTTTTAGTACTCTCCCTAGCCTATAAAATGCTATAGTTAATCTTCTCCAATTCATACTTGCACATTTTTTGAATTAAAAGAAATTATTACCAACCAAATGTAAAGTCATTGGTATTGAATTTGACCGTAATGCAAATTATCCCACGTTTCCAACTGTCGTTGATGCCCTGGCATACCCAACACAATAGACAGTGATTCCTTAAAGCTGAGCACGACTCGTAAATAGGCATACGCCATATCATTTTTCCTATCTACGGTATCAGCACTGGGGTATATTATTCGCATTCGTTACACCTGACTGCTTTCTTGTCATGGGTACATGCGTTGAATGGACGACATTAATTCGTGTTGGTTATCTTACATTGCCTTTGTTTACATTTTATTGCAGTTTACGTGTATATGTGGTTGTTTTTACTACACTGACCTGTGCAACTGATGTAAGTTTCTTGGTAATTTTCTCTTCTGCCTTGGAAGAAGCACACAGTCACTTTTGTCGCTACTAAGAGTTTTACAACAGCAATGTGAATACGTCCGTCCACAACGGTGAAAACTGATTACACTGAACTGCGACAAAGTAAATAGCTTATATAGGGGCCGCTCAGCTAATGGAAAATGCAGAGTAATATGGCGGACAAACTTAGATCTCTGACTTTTACGAATCGTGTTCAGCTTTAAATAACAATAGTAAAGGTTCCTCTTGTACGTATAATGAAATGAAGACATACTTAAAAAAATGTTCCTTTACGTTAATGCGTTTATTCAATTATTTCTCGCTACAGCACCCTTATTTGATTGGATATGATATCTTATCTGAGCATCCTGATATTTCTGTTACCCAATGTTAGTTCACAGATTATCGATTTCCCACATTACTGTCCTCCAGTAAGTGTTTCTTAAATGTATAAAATCTTCAGCTTAAATCTTATTTGTAATTTTGAACCTACATTTTATTTCTTTAATTTCTCAGTTGTACATGCAAAACATTCCAATAACATAATACATAAATAATAGAGACTGATTATATATTTCTTTAATTTTGAAAAACTAGTAAGATTTTTTTTTCTAAATGGATTTTCTAGAGATCGATGGAAGATTGTCCATCTGGTCAACATTGTGCGAATGGAATATGCTGGCCAGGTACTTGTAAGTATCTTACCGTCCATTTAATATTATTGCGACAAATCAAAATTATGATTTTGAATGATTTTAAAGTACTTTCAATTCTTATTATGACATCAACTGTAAAAAAAAAAATGCTTGTTACCTCCCTTATTGAATTCTTTTAGGGTGGTTCATTGCAAGGTTTTTTTGTTTTTTAAAGGACAAAGTAAAGGAAAAGCATGTGCTTTATGGTAGCATATTTCTGCCAACACTTGGCTTGTCAGATATATATATGTCGATCTGTGAGATGTTTATGTAGACTTGTCAGATATTTATGTCAACTTGTCCAATATTTTTGTCGACTTGTCAGATTTAGTGACTTGGTGGTCCTAAAACACAGGTTGTAAATCCTATATAGAAATTTTATAGAAATATAGATCTAAACCTTGTGGGAAATTTCACTTTTGTTTCATGTATAAAGCTACGATAAATACGTTAAACTTTGCAAACCTGATAAAACTATAGATAGATAATGTAATTATCATTAACAAATAGTTTTTAACCATATAATATTTGCATGATATTGGATTTTTGAGAGAAGCGCTGACTTTCATACTCCACGACTTACCTTTTCATTGGGGACAATATACGGAAGCTTTTTTGTGATGCATAAATATTTTGATTTGTACAATGAAAAAAAAACTCAAGAGTGGCGAAACTAAAAAAATCTACAAACAATACAAATCTCTGAACAGGGCATAAAACACGCACAGATAATTTATTTCCAAAAATGATCAGGGACAGATTATCTATTTTCTATCCTGTAGAAAGTTGACAAGCAATAAAAAATTAGGAGGATCTGCTAAACTACAAAACTCTATTTCGGGGGTGGGTGGGTGGGTAGGGAGGGGGTAGATACCATCAGTCAAGGTCATATTATTATAACCATTATCTTCCCTGTGTAAAATTATTATTTTGAACTTTTCAAAGTACAGATTTCTATATCTTCATACATTCCACAGGTTTAAATGTTTAAGCTGCCGACTGTAAAAGTCAGCGCTTCTCGCAAAGTTAATTAGTAAGGCACTAAAAGAAATCACCCATCCTTGTAAAAAATGTATTTTTCATTTAAAAATATTGCGGATATTTCCACTGCATACCTTAACTCTACTACATATTTTTCTGTTTTGATGACGTTACTTCCGGTCCGGAGAAATAGTTAATTTCCCGATATTTGTCCACGTTTTTTTCTTCTCAAAAACGGCTCTAGAAAAAGACATGAAACTTTCAGGTATGAAAGAGGTATTTGTGTAGACGTGCGTAACGTATTATATTTTTACCGGAAAGGCCGTACTTCGGCTCTCGTCATGATCCGAAAAAAGCATAATGAATAATAATATTTCCTTACCTGTAAACATTTTGTTAAAAATGTAATAAAAAATATTATCAAAAAGGAGCTTCCCCCTAATAAAGGGACCTAGACTGGCCAAGTTTGTTATCAACACTTTAAAAAGCATTGAGATTTTTTTTGTACATTATTGAAGCAATTTTTTTCAAATTTACAAGTGGCAGCTAGTGAGTTTATCAAAAATAGTCAAATTATATCACTTTTCTTAAACTGGCAGTAGTCAGTAATGGCATATTTTTGTAGATGTTCACACGTATTTGGATGACTAAAGTCACTGAAAATGTCCAACCTCATTTTTCGTCAATCGAAGTCAATTCTGGTAAAACCGGAAGTAGTCAGAAATTTGCTTATTTTTGTTGGTATCGGAACAGAATTGAATGAAGTCAGAACAAAAGCCTTTAATATGTTTATATAATTTTGAAAGTACTAGTAAATATTACATGTAAAAAACTGTGTAGATAAAATATAATAAGGATAATTATATAATGAGTAACTAAAATAATTAACACTTAAGAAGAATCTAGGTACGCAATATTGAAAAGGTAAGTCTTTAACGTTTCTACGTTTTAAAATGCAAACCTCAAGTGTTACATGTAAAGGAGACTGTTCTGCAATGTAACGTAAACCGCTTGTGTCAATACGTATTAGTCCGCACGAGTGTTATGTTGTCATATTTCCGTGTACGTGTAATGATTTGGCGGCGAAGCTTCGAATCCTTGGGAGTCTTGTCACGGAACTTGTACATATATAGTAATCCAGACATGAGTTCACATGTGAGAATACTAGGGTCTTACAAGCACTCTTCGATGTTCAAGATCGAACGAATCCACTATTTTGCAGGTGATCACCTTAACACGATGCTACGAATCTAGTACTCCATACCTAGCATAGAATAAAAAAAAACATAGTATTGTTCTGCCGCCTACGTCCAAGTCAAATTTTAAAAGTTAATATATTTGAATGACTTTCCGTATTTATATAGATATTTTTGTGAATTTCTATAAAACATAACTTTTTGGGAAAACTAAGAGAGATCATAAGTCTTTAATTTTGCTAAAAATGCGTTTTTAAATATAGAAATCAACAGGAAACGGAAAATATTTTTACCCCCCCCCCCGCCCCTGTGAAAAAAATCCTTTATAAGGGTTTTATGAATTGTTATTTCACAAACTCATACTGAAGCTTTTCTTGTTTCATGGGGGCGGGGGGGGGGGCATATGTTTACAGACAAAAAACTGCAAAAATGGTCATTTCATGATAAATTCCAGATGAGATTACAAATAAAATGAAGTCTTTTATCAATCTTTTATGTGAATTTTACATACATGTAAGTTAAACATAAAGAAAGTTTTAAGGGTAATTTTTCTACTTCCATGCGTTTTTGAAAATCTAGCGATTTTCAAAACCTGGATTCTATGCATAAAATTTCAACCCTCCATTTGAAAAGAGTCGTAAATAAGAGCAATTAAGCTTTTGACACTGATTTTAAAATTATTAATCAATTGATAATGAACTCTTCTTTGCATTCAATCAAGTTTTAATGGCCAAACTGCCATTTATATTGAATTAAATGGGTTTTAAATGTAGACGGGAATAGAGAGTTAGCGTGCGTGGTTCTTTCCATACGAGATTTTATATTTATCCAATTGTTGGTAAATCTTAATACCACATCAAGTTGAGTGAAATATGGAGATAACAGACAGTAATCAAGCTCCAATGTCCATTGAAACAATACAGATCGAGAGCAGAGCAAACACTGACCTCTTAAAACATCAGAGATAAGGTCAGGTGCCATAGAGGAGTAAACATCCCCTGTCGACCGGTCACTCACCGTATGCTACTTATCATGATTGGACAAACGGAAAAATCCGTAGTTAATTCAGTATAGATAATAACCTAACAATTAGCATGAAAAATGTCAGTTAGCATTCGACTTAATGATAGATTGTGTTTGCTGACAAGGTCATTGTATCGACCATAGAACTTACGAAATGCTTAAACGAGACCGTTGATATCTTTGTTTCATCAACTTGTTTGTCAGTAGCTTGCCTCGTTTTAGAAATTTTTCGTATGTAGAGCATATGCATGTTCTTGCGTATCGAATCAACTGAGAGACATAAACTCCATATGCAGGTGATAAGGGTATCTTTCTGAAAAAAATAAGAGAAGTTAACGATAGAAAAGTTTGTCATCACGTTTATTAGAAATTTTTGTTGTTCGATTACCATTAACGTCTTTTTCTAGTAAAATATACAGATTTTAAACAGATGTGTCGGAATGTGGTTTATTTTATTTCAATTTCACTGGGATATATCGAGTCGACCTATGAATTGAAGGAAGTATTTAATTATGAATACGTCGTCGATAAATCTAAATGTCGGGTTGAAGGCCAAAACAAGTATTTTCTTCTTCGCAAGTATATTTTGTTAAAAAATAAACTCTGTTTCATATGAATACAAAAATACGTCTGCTAAAAACAGGGCGGAATTGGTACCCGTGGAAATTTCGGCAGATTGTTGGAAGACTGCTATCATCTGCATAGCACTGAAAACTCATGTTGTTTTAAGGGAGTTATCCAAATCGGTAAAACAAACCCTTATAAATCTATTGCAATGCGTTGATATCGATAACTGGGTTATTGACTGTACCCACGATAAGGCCGCTTCGGTTATGCCAAAAGGAAATTCTAAAGAATGATGAAAATACTGTGAGCAATCACATCAAAGGTTGCAAATAATTCCAACATTACTATAACAACACATGAGTCGTTGTCTTGTACAGACGAGATGTCATGATGTTTCTTTTCAGTGATAAAAACGGTATGCTGATTGTTGTTTGTCGTGCAGATGGTTTGACTGTAGATGATCGTTTAGCCTAGAATTAACAACTTTTTCCAGAATTTTAGAAATAAATGGAAAGTTTGAGACAAGACAATAGTCCTTTAACATTTCATTTGCTCTTCTGTTTCTTTTCAAAAGGGGAAAAACTAGAGCGTTTATGAGTGATGACGGAACAGTTGATTCTAATACTGATTTATTGATAATTGCTGTGATTGTTGAAAGAGGACTCCCAACACAGGGTTTCAAAATAGATGTTGGTATTGGTCTTATGCACATGACTTAGATGGAAAAGTCAAACTGAACTCTTCCGAACTTCTGTACATGATACTGTTGCGAAGCAATTTAGTGGTTCACCTTCGTTGTCTGCTCTTAGAACATAAGCCTTAATACACTTAATACACCACTATTTGATTTACTAAGATATAGTACGAGGGTCATTCAAAAAATAAGTCTTCATGATATTTTTACTAGATTTATGACAACACATTTTCAAATGCAAAAACATTTATTTGGTCGTTGTGTGAGTTTCGCTCCATTTCATTAAATGGAATTCATTTTACTTAATTTTAAATTCAGCATGTGTTTTATCACCCCGGAGCACTAGTACTCTTAACTGCATTGTAACGTCAAAAACAACGTCGTGAATGTTTCTCACAAATACTCTCCCTCGTCATTTCTCACACGGTTTGTAGCGTCTTATTAACTCATTAAAAGGTCTCCATAACACTGGACACATAGTTTGATAACATCTGTTTGAGTAGCATCAGTTTGTCAGTGTTTTCAATTTCTTTACTGCGTAACTCTGCTTTTATAAGATCAACAACAATGAATCCTCATATCTCTTTCCATGACGTTGCTAATTCTTTTGACCAGCTTTTTTTAATAAAAATCTATTTCTTTACAGACTGTACATCATTCAATTCAAAGTCTCTAACACTCAAACACTGTTTTTACCAATAATATACAAATGCATGACTCACTTTTGATATGTTCCCTGGTTTCTTTAGCATTTTCAGAGTTTTTTTTTTAGAGTAGGAGTTTCCTGAGTGCAAAAAATCATTTCGCTACTCGCTGCTCCGTGACGTCCTTTAACGTAACTTTTTCGCCTTTTTCCGAGAGGACTACCTGTCTTTTAAAATTGATTACTCTGTAACGAATCATTGTACCACCTTACAGTTTGTTACTAAAAATTATAACACAAATGTATATTTGAACATTTAAATTTTATCTCTTTTAAGCGTCATTTGTTAGAGATATAACTAAAGACACAATGAAGTGTATTGTTAGAGAATTACTCAATTTTGACCGTGCTCCGTAACCCTTTTTTCACAGTTTTAAATTTTGAATAATTTAGACTTTTATTAGGATATATTTGAAATTTTTAATTCACCGTACATTGATTTATTGTTCAAGTATGTCTACCAAATTGGATTATAATATGACGTTAAATAAAATTGTTATGACAAAAGTCTAAAAACTTTTTGAATGAACCTCGAATTTGTCTGTAGGTGCCTAATTAGGTGATGGTGAAAAGTGTGGTAACTTCTTCATACATATGTCTTTTCTAATATACATGAACAAATCCATCATTAACTAACCGTTTTCAATTACTCCTGTGATAATGAGCAATGAAACATGAAGATAACACGTAAGATGCCTACCGAGTAATTTGATACATGGTCATAAAATCCCATGTTCGAGGTTTTTGCCATTTACTAATAAAAGAGCACGATTAAAGTGACACCTATATTGAATTGTTCATTATTTCGAAAGTATTTTTTAAGTTTTTTTTTTCATTGTAGTGGTTTGCCGCTTTAGGGTAAGATATCTTTGAACAACAATTTAATTCGAGATTGGCATTAGAACGTTTGTGGTTTTTAGTGTATGTTTAGATACAGATATCTGCATATTATTACTTTAGTTACTTGATTCCCCGATGTATGCTGAAAATAATTGCATACCTCCTAAACCTATATGGTAACAAACCATCAAACTTAAAAATGAGCTTAATATCAAGTATATGAACAATTTCAAACTCAAATGAATAGATTGTTAAATATATCAAGAACGGAAAAACTTATCTTCATTGAAAGGTATACTCAACACTGATTAATAGTTCGTCACTTTTATTTCATAGAACTGTTTATATGATCAATGAAAGATATACTCAACACCGATTAATAGTTCGCACTTTCTTTCATAGAACTGTTTATATGATCATAACAACACATGCGAAAATGATCAATGTGTAAGAAAACCTGCAGGACTGTAAATGCACTGTAATACTCTATATTTCTGGATTAGAGTTGAAAATATTCTTATTTCACAAAGTTGCTATTTTTATTTATTAGCAACTTGTTCGTTCGATCCACCCTGTTCAGCTGGATATGTCTGCAGATTTGGAATTTGCTCTAGTGAGTATTAAACTAATTTTGTAATTCTACAATGTAATTGTTATCTCGTACTTGAATCAACCCGTTCATAAAGGATGGTCGGAAGTGAGGTTGAAAATTGTATGAAGCGTTTCTATTTTCTAAAAGTTGACACTGTCTTTGAAGTGGACAAGTCTGAGTCATGTTATCATTTTAAACTAATTTTGGAAATGTTTGACGCTGTTTTGTTTTGAAATCTGAATCAAAAAAAATTGTTCGGTGGCTTCAGAAGGAAAAAAAAACTGGTTTTGGGTAAGAATTCTGCTACTTCATTTTAATGCTTTCAAACAGACAGAAATGAATTACTGATGTATTTCGTTCAAAATAAATAGGATTATGGAATTTATGTATGAAAACTTATTTGGGACAGACTTTACAAAAACTATTTTTTCTTATATTACACTTTTGTCATTTAAATTTTAATTTTATGAAAATGAAGTTTTTCAGGAAGAATATTTAACTGTGTTATTACAGGGTTATTTAAAGTTTTTTGTCCATTTTGATTGAAGAAGCAGTTGTCTGTGATATCAAAAGGCATAGTTTTTAATTTATCGTGAGAATGGTTGTATAAAGAGTAGAAAAGTCGTACGATTTAACTTTTCTTGAAGGTTTATGGAGTTTTTGAGAATCCACATCTGATTTATACCAGTTTTAAAATATGCTGTAGCACAGTGCTCTGACGTTTCTCTTTACAGCTGTTAATCTTTCCGGAAGAAGTAAAGATAGGGGCCTGGTAGAACATTTGCTGGACCTGGCAATGTATCTTTGTTTGTAAGGATTTCTAGGAAAATTAGGAATCCAACGAATATGCCGTGTATAACACTGAAATTCTTTTTATACAGAAAGTTCAGATGTTCAAAGTCAAACTTATTCAATTTCAGGTGTACAAAGTCAACCCTTTTTGCGAATTAAGTAATATGAAAATGCCAACCACACTAATCTCTCTAAATCATTCAAATCTAGGTCCAAAAGAAATCTACCTCACTCACCAGGATATGAAGCTATTCTTTATTTGTATTTCAATCAGTTACAATCATTTCAATTTATGTAAGCTAGCTAAATTAAATCAGTACTGACTTCAAAAATTTCAACAACGTCGTTTCTTATGTTGATATATGTGAACTTTTTTTTGTTTTTCATACATCTACATCTGCATCAGAAGAGGATATTTGCTCTGCGGTAAGGTATTCTTAGCACAACTTTATGTATAATGATATATATACCTATTCAAGACTTTGATCACTCACTGTGGCACCACCTCATCCAAGAGGGTCATAATTTGAAAAAAAAAATCTACACCTTCAACATGTTCCATCTTTTCTGGCCCAGTAGTTTTTGAAAGGAGGATGTTTTAAATATGCATTGAATTTTACCTAATTATTCATCATGTACCCTTGAATTAAGGGTTGTCCTTCATTCGAATATACTTTAATCCCCTTCAGCCAAGGATGCTTTGTGGCAAGTTTCACTTAAATTGGCTAAGTGGCGAAGAATTAAAAATTTACAGATGGACATATAGTTGGACAAAGGAACGCCGGGTAAAATGTGATCAAAAATGCTCACTTGAATTTTCAACTCAAGGGAGCTAAAATTGTTATAAAAGAATATAATTTGGAATATAATGGGCAAAAATGAGTTCGTGAAGTACTTTTTTGAAAAGGAGTTTCATTTACACAATAATGTGTAAATTTTGCCTATGAAATAGGACTCAAATGCGCAATTTGACCCAAAGAACTTTCTTTCTGAATATCATTTACAGTTTGAAATCTAACACTTGCACATATCACACATATTCTTTGATTTATGAATTTCATGTCATGTTCATAAGGGTGTTGTTTTAAAAAAATTCTGCGCTCCAATTTTTTGTACAAATAAATTATTGCAAAACTTAAGAATGAAAAAAAATGAAATTGAATTAAAGTTTGAATAAACTTTTTTTCAGGATTGGGATTGTGAACCTTGGGAAATTTGTGTAGATGGAATATGCACAATAGGTAAAATAAATATTAAAGCATTTTTTGAATTTTTTTCTCAAATACTTAAGGAATCTAATTTGCATAACGGACGAAACCCGAAATGCATAAATTATCCAAAGTTTCCAACTATCATCGATGTCTCATACCCAACAAACTAGACAGTGATTCGTGTTTACATTTATATGTGAAAAAAAATTGTTAATATAAAATAATTTAAAAATGCTAATAGATTTAAAATACACGAGACCTCGCATGTTGATTTCAATAGTCCCCGCCCATTGAGGTCAGACACAAACTCAGCCGAACGAGGTTGGCATGCATATAAGGCTCTTGACCTTTCACCTGCCGGAATTAACATTCCGGTTGAATTATCAAGAAATCAACTCACCAAACTTTCAAAGAGTTATCACAGAGAAAACAATTAGAATTGGAAATATATTGTATTAACATCTGTAAGTAAGAAATATTTTGTTCAAATTATATGGTTTGCTGAGAGCTGTTCAAGTACAATTTTTTGTTTCAAAAAATTATCGGGGGGGAAACCTTCTTTTTTTTGTCAGAAAATAATTCAAGTGTTTAAAAAAATCTAGTAATTATTATAATAAATGAAGAAGGACATAGAAATGAGCATGTTTAGTGTGTTGCATAGTTTTATTAGGGATGCACTTTAAGGTATTCCAGCATGCTAGAGGTTCACGGCGCCGCGTAACCTCTAGCATCAATTGTAAAAATTCTCGCCGCAGAAACCTACGTGGAAAAGTGTTTAATAAAAATTTAGATTTTGTCATTTACAAATGGCACACGACAATAAAATATTCATCAATTGCAATAAAATTTACGCATAAAGCACTTACTGCACTGTTCTCAAAAATTGTATTATCTAAGGTACGATTACTGTAAATAAAATGCATTTCTCAAAATCATTCAGATCCACCTCACTCCATTGTTGATCATTCAGACTACATTGAATAACTTAGTGAAAAAACCGATATTCTAAGTTAAGAATGAAAATTCTTAAAAAACTATTTTTTCGAAGAAAAATGTTTATTAAAAGCTTTCATCGGCCCCTCCCCTTTCCCCATTCCCACCACTACAAGTTCCTGTGATAAAATTCCTTTTTAAAGCGACACAAGCTATGACCTTGATCTGTAGAAAAAGCACATATAGCTACATCACAGTCTTTGTTCTATGGGGATACGAGGCTAGATTTAGAATTCATTTTAGTAACGACTAACTTATCGGTTCTTACATTTCAATATCAAAGAGGGAAAAATACTAACAATTGAGAGAAATGTAGACAAGGCCAAAAAGTTTTATGTAGACAATGCCAAAAAAGTTTCTTTTACACTTTGCATATTTTGATATCATAGATGATAAAGGAAATAGTTGAAAAATTTCGAAGTAAACTTGCTTTAAGTTTTTTTTTTTTTATTTATTCCAGACCTACCCACAACACCAAGACCAACCATAAGTCCTACTCAGTCCTCAGATATCTATTGCCGTCATGTAAGACAAGATGGTGATATGAACATTTGAGATTCATTTTGTATTAGTAAATCAGTATTAATGTGGCAATTTGATCTTTAATGTAGGATAATGACTGTCCACCTGGATATTATTGTTCCATTTGGCTAAGGCGATGTACACGATATTCTGTAAGTAAATGCAAAGAAAAATCATGAATAATTTGTTCAGTACTTAATTCAACCCTATGATGAAGTATAATATATGTAACATAATGGATAATTTACTTGTCCAATTCAAAGAATTTCATGCAAAGTCGTTACATATTTTATGCGAGTACTGAGTATTCGCTTTTTTTTCTTTTTTTTTTTTTTTTAAATATTTTTTCTTAAATTTGTCTTATTCATTCCTAGTAAGCTCATAAGGAAAAACACAGACTTGCTTACGAAGTGAAATTGAATTGATCTGGACTTCTTATGAACAACTTGTAGTCAGTTCCTCAAGGACGAGAGCTACTAAATTTGAATCCAAAAAATGATTGTCAGAATGTTGTTACTATGAGTAAAAATAAATTTTATCAGAAAAGTTTATTCTTTTAATGTATAGATTTTAGTTTCAGGAGAAAAAGGGCAACACATAATTGTTGATAAATAGCATTTAGCTTCTGATAAAGTGATGTATAATGCATGTGAAGAAATGCCGTACAAAACAATAACGGCAACTTTGCTTATTAAAGCTGAACACGACTCGTAAATAGGCATACGCCATATTCGATAATACTATCTACGATATCATCACTGGGATATACCCTTCGCATTCGTTACACCTGGCTGCTTTATTATCACGGGTATCGGCCTGGAATGACGAAACGTGTTCGTGATGGTTATCTTGAATTGCCTTTGTGTATTTATTTTATTGCAAATACGTGTATTTGTGTTTGTTTGTATACTGCACTGACCTGTGCAATTGTTGTAAGTTTCTTTGGTATCTTACTCTCCTGCCGTAGAAGTACACAGTTATTTTTTGTCGCTACCGAGTGCTGTGAAGCATGCGTCCGTCTACACCGGTGACAACTGATTACACTGAACAGTGACTAAGTGAGCGGCTTATAAAGGGGCCCTCAGATATAGCGAATGAAGAATCGAATATTGCGGACAAATTCCTTTTATGAATCGTGTTCAGCTTTAATATTCAAGAAGATCTATGTCAGAAAATGGCAAATATTTCTAAATTTACTTGATAAATGCGCTTCAGGCTCTTTCACCACATTTATCTATGAAATATGAAGATAACGAACAGTATTCAATCTCGAAAGTCCGATGAAACGATACAAATTTGGAGCAGAGCAAACACGGACCTCAACATTTAGAGTTGGGATCAGGTGCAATTGAGGAATTAGCATCCCCTGCGGACCGGACACGCCCGCCGTGTGCTCCTTGTCATGATCGGGAAACAAAAACCGAAAAAATCCGTAGACAGTTCAGTGTATAAATAATGGCCTTACAATTAGTATGAAAAACGTCCGTCAGCATTGAATTTGACTCAATGATAGGTTGTATCTGCTGTCAAGGTCATTGTATCGACCGAAAAACTTTGCGAAAAGATGACTTCAAACGAGACTGTTGATATCCTTGTTTCGTCAACTTGTTTGTCAATAGCTTTAGTCGTTTTAGAAATTGTTCATACGTAGAGCATGCTCTTGCGTATCGAATCAACTGAGATACATAAACCCCATATGCAGGTGATAAGGGTATATTCTACATAAATAAGGGAAGTTGACGATTGAAAAGTTGAAGTCGTCATGTTTATCATAAAGCTTTGTTGTTAGGTTTCCATTAACATCTTTTTCTTGTAAAATATCTAAATATGAAACAGATGTGTCAGAATCTGTGGTATCTTTTATTTTAAGCTCACTGGGATATATCGAGTCGACAAATGAATGAAAGTAACTATTGTTAATTGATGATATATCAGTATAAAAAAGCTTTGCTTCAGATTTTCAAACTCAAAGGGAAGCATCAACTTTTCATCATTTTGAACAAAAGAGTGCATTCCAATCCAGGACACAATGAAAGAATCACATGAGGAAGAAATTATTCCGAATTGATATTTTTTATCTTTGTTTTTCTCTTAATTTTTTTCCTTATATAATACATTAAATGAACGGAAAATGAATATACGAGGGTTGTCCCAGAAAAACGCGAACTTTTTAAATATCTCATAAACTACCTGACCAAAATTATTCATTTTTGGCACATTGTTGGGAAGTGATATTTTCGTCATTTGGCTAAATAAAATAAGGTTGTAATGTTATATGCACTTGACACAACATTTAAAGGGTGTTAAATATCGGTAGTCGGCGCAAGGTAATTTCTTGACTTTCAAAAATTGCATTGACAGCGATGTTTTCTTTATTACCAGTCTATACGGAAATGTAATGTAACCAAAATTACATCCATAGAAACTGTATGATCTAGAGTACTCGTGTGTAAATAATCAATACTCTTACATCATAAATAACAAAAAAATGACGTTATATGCACAAACACTATTAATTGGATATTGTCAAAACGGCGACGTCGGGCGATAATGCGGCGCACCAAATTATCACTGTGTGGAGAGGAGTATGATCCCTGTTCATAGGAGAAAAGAGCTGGGAACCAGAGAACAACACAAATACATGTATCGAACACTGGTTTATACATAGTTAAAGAGGTTCAAAGATGAATGGACTAGTTATCCGATGGAAGAAGCTTTTAGTAGACCTACAAAAATGACAACTGAAAAGTCTAGAGCTGGACGTCACACGTGGAGACCGCCGTTAACTATGTGAAAAGTTAGATTTATGATTGGGAAATTATCTATTAAAAGAATTAATTCTTTTATTTATTCTTTACTGTAGCATGTGTGAAATGGATAACTTGATAACTAAAACAAAAATCAAATGCAGTCGAATTTATGTTTCGAACAAATTTTTAAAGATGCACTTTTCTGAACAAATTCAAAAAAACTGTACGATCTACGTTTTGACGTCGTCGGTGTTGCACCAACAACTATTTTGAATGATTTGTTGATCAAAGATAAAAATTTTATTTATAGAGATATTTTATTGAAATTTCTCTGAATAATGCAAAAAAATGTTGATTATGGTGCATACCAATTTTTAACTTTATAATATTAGTGAAACAAAAAATATTGAAAATGTTTTCTGGGACAACCATCGTAAAATGGCCGCTAAGCAAATCGGCAAAATGTACACCATTTTGTCCATATGGTCTTTGATACCATTTATGCAAGTTTTGTAACGCGTATAGAAAAGAATAAAATCAACTAGATTTTTTAAAAAATAAAAACAGACCCTGTAATCCATTATGTCTCCTGCGCTCTGAGTTACTAGTATGTTATATAATTATTTAGTACTATTAATTAGAGGCAGTTTCCATTTAACCGGCAACATTTTTTCGATTTTCCGAGCTATATCCTTATACAATAGCAATAAAATTTAAAAGACTTCAAATTAAATTAATCTGACCAGATATTAATTATTCTAGGCACAGATTTAGGAAAATATGAATGAAATGAATGCAAATTAAAAAATAATTAATTTAGACTGTTTCTACGGTAAAACAAAAAGTAACAAAATTGTTCAGAAACACTTCAATTGACATAAGTTGATGATTGATTAAAAGGTGTATGTTTAGAAAAATATAAAGAGATGTCAAGTTTTGAATCATATCGATCTTTATTTAGAAATGGCATATATCATTTACTGACGATAAGAATAATGATTTTTCCAAGGATTTAGTTGAACAATTGCAGTGTAAATCACATATAAAACGTCTTAAGATAAGGACACTCTGTCTTAAAGAGAGAAAATTGAATAGAAACAAAATCTTGTTTTCAATTTCACAACAATCAAAAACAGTTTGTCGAACTTTCAACGGAACTTGAAGAAAAACCCACAGATTTTATTTTGATAATTACACGGAGTTCCAATCAGAACATAATGCTGAAGACTGTAGAAGTAGACAACAAAGTTCGGACATCTTAGCACTTAGCGCAGACCTGAAGTCTAAGCTACTTTATTTTTGTGATGGAAGTTCTTATACATTATGGTTCCTTTCTAAGGGATATGCCGATTTGGAGCAGTTCCACACAGAACTTGAGTATATTTATTCAAAGTTTTCACTATAGTTAATCAAAGTTAATCAATGTTTTCAGAGTGATCACTATAGTGTCCCAGTGATCACTATAGTAAATCAAAGTTGAAAATATAGAAAAGAGAAGTATCAAATTTCTTACTATTGTAAATCATTTTCTGTGATAGAAGTCTCATTTAAGGAAGCTCTAAACACTGGACACTAAAGAGCTCTTATGTATATTAGTATTGAACATCAGTTAGCCAAAGTATACAATCCTATTAGAGACTGAAAACCAGTTATTAAGAGTTACTACCTGACACACAACAAAATAAAGTTCATTTGAGTGATATATAAAGTAGATCAAAATTTCAAGGTTATCACTAGAGTAAATCAAGGTTTTCAAAGTAAGTATTATAGTGTTGTATTGATCACTAAGTAAATCAAATTGTGAAAGTTCTCAGTAGAGTTAATTATAGTTTCCATAGTGACAAAATTATCACTATTATGAATTGTTAATTGTTAATTCACAATTGTTAACTATATTATTTTTTGTTAGGGCAAATACGGAAAGGAACTTTCAGTTTTAAGTAATATTATGTTTTTATTATATATTTGCGCTACTGGCTGCGGTGGTGATTATTAGGTTACCACTGGACTGCTTCCACCGAAAACAAATACAGGAGAAACACGGAGCGACGACCAATTATTAGGTAAATTGTCCACAGGAATGTTAAGTCGAAAAAGCACAAACGTTACTAGCTATGATCTTTTTTTTTTTTTATAAAGCAATGAATGACACCAGTATATGTGCACAATTCCGGTACAGACAAACCATAAAGGCACTTGACTTGATGAAATAAACAAACTCAGCAGGTGTAATTAGAGGACGGCTAACTTTAGCAACTTCTTTTTACTGTATGGGATACTACCTCAACGCTTTGAAAATGATCCGACAATATGAAGATTTTCTAGATGATAACCGAGGTTTTCTATATGTAAGCTCAAGGTTTCTGGATGAAGAATACATTGTTAATTTTTGAAATGGTAATTTGACTAGAAGCAAGGCCTCAGTAGGTGTTTTGTACGACTTTGAAGTGTTTCGAAGGATGCCGATTCATCCCAAGGAAATAGCGCCTGAAATTCTTCTAATGGAAGGCGCCCCTCTGCATTTATATTTTTTCCACCACGTCCTTACTCCATATTCCTTAAGGCTTTGTGTTTTTCTAAAAGAAATGACATGTATAAGGTGAAAATTCTAAAGGAGGAACTGCAGAGCATTCTTTCATCGATCCCCGATGCTGCGATGTATCTGATTTACACAATGATAGCAATATTAGAAACCAAATTAGACCTATTTGACAAAGCTTATCGAAATCATTATTTGGCATATTGGCATAAGAAGTATTTGACGTGGAAAGAAGAACGTTGTTGGGAATGGGACTCCTT